AGAGAGAGAGAGAGAGAGAGAGAGAGAGAGAGAGAGTGGCGATGGATGGGACACACCTTCAGAAAACCCAGCGGAAACATCACAAGACAGTCGCTGCAGTGGAACCCACATGGAGCACGAGGCAGGGGTACGCCACTGGAAACATGGGGGAGATGAGTGGAAAGGGACACAACAGAGAAAAGCTCACTTGGAACAAACTACAAAGATGATCCTGGACAGGGATAAATGGAAGGAGGCCTATACCCTGCCAGGGGTGAAAGACTTTGATGATGATTGCTGATATCAATCTTACATTTTCTCAAAAGTGTGGTTGGCAGGCACTCTGGTGTGGTTTGCTCCTTCTTTCTTATCAAACATCTGTCATCATTATCCCTCCTCTTTCTTTTCTTTGTATGATACTATCTTGTAATGCCTCTCTAATTTTCTTCAGCAATTAAACGACTTAATTCTGGTGCAAGTGCCGTACAACTGCAAGAAGTGCTCTTACCATAATTTTCCAAAATAGACATTTCTCTCTGCCTGTTTGCTAATCTCAGCTTCTCATAAAGATCCCTGACTTTGTAATTCTGGCAGCCCAAGTCCCACAACAGGGTGCGGGTGGGGCTCCCTTCACTTTTGTGGAGTTCCAGGGTCAGCAACTGCATTTTCTCTGAGGTGTAACCTACAGCAGCCGCTGAAAGAAAATAAGACATGCCAATAGCATAAATGTGAACTGGTCACTTGAATATTTTTCCACATGCAAAAGAACATTCTGTTTAAATGATAGGAGAGATCACATAAAAGTTAGTCCACAGAACAGTCAAACCTGCCATTTTGTTACAGAAACCTGTCCTAGTCGAAACCCATCATGATGAAATCTCCCAGCTTCCCCCTTGATAGATTCCCGTGTAGTTAAGTATGTCTGTCTAAGATGGAAACCTGCTCATCCCAGAAATGAAAAGAGAAATTCCTTCTCTTCAAAGGGTTTTGACCTGTCGAAGATGGAAAATACTTTGCCCGCCCAACTCTGATTTTAAATAACTCTCCCTAGTTTGGTTCCACCGGCTGTAAACTGTACACCAAGCCGCCATGTGAGGAAAGGAGAGAAAAAAATGTAAGCCCTAAGCGGTGCAGATATCAGGCAGTGTTGGTGCAAAATCTCACTGCTGTTTGTTTTCAAAATGCTCAAGTGGCACGGTGGCATGGAAACTATTCTGGGTAGCCAGAGGTGTGAAATTTGACCACTGTCTTTCGGCCTTTTTGTACGGAAAGTCAAGAAAAAAAGGTTTATTTTTTAAATAAAATTCTCCTGTTGTACTGTTTTGTGTTCAAATTGTGTTGTTTTGTTTGTTTATGAGCCCAATAAACATGTGAATAAAAAACGAGTGATTGTTGACTTTGTTTTAAAATTTTGTTTGATATTTAGCATGTAACAGTGTTACGGACATATAAGGATTTAGACTTAGTACGCATCCCGATGTTCGCGAGTCTGATAATTTTCGCTTTGAAGGGCATACAGTCGAACCTGTGTAAGACGGAATCGCAAGGGAGCCAGATAAAAATTCCGTCTTAAACAGGGGAATTTAGGTGGAGATCGGGGGGG